GCTCAGCCATGAGGGCCACGAGCCCCACACCACCTTCAGCTGTGATGTTCCTTTCTTGGTGACATCCCTGCAGGGAAATCCACTGAATTTCACAGCACAGAACTGCAGCAGCCCAGCAAGGACAGGAGAGAGAAGGTCTCTGCTCAATGTCTTGGCCGTGTCTGATGTGCAGAGGGGACAAAGGAAAGCAGTTTGGGCTCCTTCCTGGGCTGCAAAGCTTCGTTTTTGGCACATTTACTTTCCTTGATGTGTGGGGAAACACTGCACCCCAACTGATCTGGCTGATCTAAGCTGGGTCTGTCTGCAACCCGCATCAGAACAAGCAGAGTCCAGCCAGGTGGAGTGTCATTCCTGGTCCCTGGGAAGGGCTGCCGCTCTGTGCCCAGCCAGAACAGGCAAGTATGGCAAATGTCTGAGCATTCCTGATTATTTTAACCATGGACACTTGTATCAGAGAAGCTGCACCCCTGGACAGTCAACAAGCAGAAAAGTCACAAACTGGCACAGACACATCCCTGAACTGCCAAAAGCCATGTGCTCTCAGTGGGAACAGCAGAGGAAAGGATTGCAGTGGGATCTAGCGAAGACTGACTTTGGGAGAAGGAAGTGATTCTCAGGACAGGTGTGTATCTTGGTTTGAAAGACAGATGTCTGCCAAGGAAGGCGGGAACCTTCCTCGGAATCTAGAGAATATGACCGACCCCCTCCCCCGCTTCCCTCCAAACTATTATAACTTCGAAATTACAGGGCTTCCTTTACAGCTTCAACGAGGCCAGCCGATCCCGTGCCCCTCTAGAGGGCGAGATAGGCTGCAGCAGGGGATCCTGGAGCAGGGCGAGGGATGCCAGGGGCTGCCTCACCCCGGGAGTGACAAACAAATGGTRSCAGATAATCCAGGGCCCTTCCCRAAGCCGCAGGGAATCCGRGTGTCGGGTTACAGCGGAGCAAAAAGCCCTGAAACAGAGGCAGAGAACAGCGGGGGCTGGGCAGGGAGCTGTTCCCTCGGTGGCTCACCAGCGATGGCTGCTCCTGGGTCAGGGCTGTGCAGACAGGCCCCCGTTCCCTGGCGGGGAACGCCGTGTTCCCGGGTCTCGCTGTGGTAGGCACTGGCTCTGGGCCCCCAAGAAGCAGGGAAAGCAAGCCAATAAGCTCCAGTCACGGTGCCGAAGGGAAAAGGCAGGGAAAAAAGGGCAAAAATCTAAGCCACAACTGTATCTCTCGTGAGAGCGATCGCAGCGAGTACCTGCCGGCACCAAAATCCTCCACCGATTCAGAGACAACAGCCCCTCGCCCCTGATGCTCGAAAAAGGCTTCGAAATAAAACTCTATTGGCCGGTGTCTATAGAGCAGGTATTTGTTTACTGCAGCGCTGCTGTAGCGCTGGAGGTGAGGGGGATTTCTCTTCTTAACTCACTTGGCTTCGCTTAGAATTGGCAGGTTTTTATACAGTAAGCATGGTGTAACATTACCGTCGTCACTACGCTTACTACTATGTATGGGTACGGAAATACATGATATCACAGTTCTGCAAGTGCACATGTGTCATCCTCAATTCGGTGGTTGTGGGGATCTCCAACTAATGAGATACCATCCTCTTCATCATGGTGGACCTTTTACTTTTGTCTTCAGGGCATGTGCAGTTGGGATGTTCATGGTTTTTTCTAGTCTTCTAAATCTTCATTTTCTATTTTTTTGTTGACTTGTGTTTCTACTAAATTCTCATTACTGCTCTCTACTGTTCTTTGTTATAGCATCTACCTGTCTACTTTCTTCAGAACTTTTTCTGATTTATGCTCCTTGGTGATTTTAGGTGTTGGCATACTAATCCAGATGGCTGGATTACATCCAGCTGATACACTGTATGTTGCTAATACCCTGTATAAAAACGTATAACAATATATGAAAAGGCTATTATTGATAATATATTGAAAGCTATTACATTGTATATTAATAATATGTAAAAAGTTGTTACATTCTTATATTGATAATGTATAAAAAAGTTATAGAAAGTTTTCATCAATAGGCCTCCTAAGCACCTTGTCACTTTGACATAAATCATAGGTATCATTCCCCCCCAATCTTGGGCTGGCTGTCAACTATCATGATATCCCCAGAGCCAGGGGAGGGGGTTSACCATCACRGACACAAAATAAAAAYGAAACAAAACCCAAARATGGTATGGGATAAAAAAGACATCCCCAAGATAGTGTATTAAGAGTCTATAGTTTTTTTAAGTGATGAAACTCCAGAATGAAATACAGTGCTGTCAAAAATCCCATTATACAAACACTATGCTGATGTTTTGGTAAAATAAAATAAAAAATATTTCTCTCAAAACTTTGGAGTTATTTCCCAGTTGCTTTCTATTTTWATTTTCTGCAACTTCTTCTTTCTTTTCTAGAAACCTGCTATTTTAAGACCCACTGTGAAATTTCTAGGGTATAAATCTACACTGAAAAGTGTATTTTCAAACTTTTTTTTTTCCTGTAGCAGTATTTTTAGTAAGTCACTCTGTTTCCACAGATTCCTGGCACACAGGCTCTGTCAAAAAAGCACTAGCACATACTGTGCTGCACAATGATGGGGACACTGCTTTAAACCATCTTTTGTGTTCTCTGGGTCCTGTGCTTCTCATGGCACTGGGCTGAGGCTGATTTGTACAGCCAGATTCATACAGCAACAGCAGTTCTTGCAGCTGGAGGAAGATAGAAGGAAAAAGAACTTGGGCCTTGTGTCTTCCTCTGAAGCCAGACAGCATCAGCAGCCCTGGCACTATATGTGCGGACACCTTGGCCACAGCAGTTACTCTTTCAGTCACCAAACTTGACAGGCAGCAATCCTTTGCTGGTCTGTGGCCTCTGAGCATAAATTCAAGGATTATCCCAGGAAACCTACCTGAACCAGGGAGAATTTATCCACCCACGGTGACACACACTTGACGTTAAGAATTCCAGCATGCATAGATTTGTGCTCTTCTGTGTCAATCTGGTTTGGGCTTTAACCTAGTATAAACTASCAAAAAAAGAAAATAAAATTTATTKGCTTCTGAACAGCTCTGTTATCACAGCAGAACCCGCGCTCCCCTGGCTGTACCAGAGGGTGAACAGGGCTGAGGGGCAGTGACAATCCCCTCGGATAGGCCCTGCTCAGGCTCACCGGCTCCCCGGGACATGGGACACCAGCCGAGGGGAAGGAGCGCAACCGGCGGCGGCTGCGACACCCAGGGGTGGATGTGCGGAGGAGCGGCTCCCGCATCCCGGCATCGGCTCGCCGGGGGGCTCAAGGGGTCAGGCCCCAACTCTCCCCTCTATCTCACCCCTATCACCCCGCGCTCACGCTCCCCGCAGGGTACTGAGGCTATGCACCGCTGCGGGTGGAGCTGCCCCGGCCCAGCGGCACAGCCCGGCACAGCCCAGCCCAGCCCAGCCCAGCCCAGCCCAGCCCGGCCCGGCCCGGCGGCACAGCCCGGCACAGCACAGTCCAGCGGTGCCGCTCCTTGCCCGTGCCCCGCCATGGCCGCCCCGACGGGCTCCGTGCTCGCTCCCTGCGCGCGCTCTCCGGCCGGAGTGGGCGGAGCTCCCGCGGCCCCGCCCCCTGCCCGCGCCGCAGCGCGGCGGCCATTTTGTGCGGCAGCGGTCAATGCGCGGGATTCAGCGCGCCGCGGGCCCGGGCGGGGCAGCTCCGTTCTAACCCCTTTTCCCGTACAGATCCCTCGGTAAGAGCGCGGCGGCGCCCGGGCCGGCCGGGCCGCCTGCCCAGCCCCGCGCTGCGGGCCCGTGGCTCGGCGGGGAGACGGGGGGAGGGAGGCCGGGCGGGCGCGTCTCCTCGCACAAAGGGCTGGGCCGGGCGACGCCTCCCGCCTGCGGCCCCGGGGCGCCGAGCGGGGCCGCTCTCGCCCGGCTGCGTCCCGATGCGCTGAGGGCCGCGGCTCGGGCCGGCCCCGCCCGCTCCCCGGTCCCTGGCTCCCTCCCGCGCCCGGCGGCCCGCGGAGCTGTGCGGATGGGTGAGTCTGTGCGGGCCGAGCGCAGGCGCCGCGGGCCCGGCCGGCGGGGGCGGCCGAGTGACCTTGCGGCGGCGCCGGAGCTCGAGCCGGAACAGGGGCCGCATGGCAGGGCCTGTAGCGGGGTCCGAGCCGGAGATTTGACGGGTCCGGAGCGATGTCCGGCGGGCCGGTTGCGGCGGGGAGCARGAGCTGTGGGGCCCCGGCGGGTCTRGTCCCGGGGRTGCTCGGTGGGCYGGCTGCACCCGGCTYAGGGGAAYTGGGGAGCCCGCATGGAGCAGGTACTTGTCCTGCCGGATGTTTAGCATGCCAGCTGGAGGCTTCCGTAAACGGTACYGCCGGCTGGAGGCTTGTGTCCCTTTTCTGTCCTGTTAAGTCTTCTTTATCGCCCTGTATTCTGTCTTTTTAAATTATTTTAAAAGAAYAGAAATCACGGTGAGTCTTTGCACTGACCCCAAAGCTGCCTGTGTAATTACCCCTATGTAATGCGGTTGGGAAACACCGTGGTGTTCTTGACAGGTCTGGGTTCAGATACGGCTTATTGCTACCAAAGTGGATTTTGGTACCAGTTGGTAATCTGTAGCCATGCCAGGGCTTGATTAATTGAAACAGGTATAATTTCGGGAAGCAGCTTTATCTCGTTTACTTATTGAAAATCTTGGTACCAGAGATGTTTCTGTGATCCCAGGCTATTGTTTCTAGCCTAAATGCTTTAAAATAAATCAGGAGGGTCTGATTTATATCTGTTTTATTCTTAGAAATATCTGAAAGTTGATGATTCCAAGTTGAATAAAATAAATGTCACTTGACTACAGAATGTGGTGTTTAATGCAGTAAGAGAATTAAATGAAATGTTAAAGCAATGTTAATGACTTGAATTAACTTTCTCTAAGTATCTGTGTAACAGCTTGTAATTGGTCACCTCTGTAACAAATGCTTTTGACCTGGGTTCATTTAATTTTCTACAATGAGTAAGTATTCTTTCACAGAACTAATTTACAAAAAAAAGTCAAGTGAGAAGATTTTGTCAAAGATTGTAGTGTAATTCTCTTTTAGTTCTTGTGTGGCTTCTAGTAGTTTCACAGTAATAAATGAAGGGGACTTAGATATGAATACATGTTACTTGACCCAAGTTAATTTGTGGTGGAAGAGTTCATACAAATAACTGTGTGGATGTCTCCTCAATGGAAATAAAATTTTGCTTGARCAGGCTGAAAGTAAAATCTGTTTGCCTGTAATTTTAAGGTCAAGTTGGGAACGAGGCTAGAATAGTAATTGYTCATAACGGCACTGCCTTGACTGAAATGTAAGAAGCATGTAATTAAATCTTACCTTTAATTGGCTAAGCTCTTTGTAGCACTTTCTTTTGCTCTTGTAGTTCCTGAATGACCTAGGCAATGATTCTGACTTAAATTCAACCTCCTGGCCAGGAAAGGAGAGTGCAATCCTTACTTTAATTGTAGGGGATGATAAATTCTCTGTAACTGAGTACTTTATTTATGACCACATCTGCAGAAGCTAGGTATGATCTATAGCTGTAACTTTGTCAGACTGACAGTGACTGACACTAGCTGTCCTGCTTGTGTGGCACTGGCCTGCACACATGTGAGCACTTGTGTTGTGAATGGAGCTAAAGAATGTACATGGGAGAGGGGAAGGATTGATTGCTCAGCCCTGCAAGTGATTGTTGTTAGTATTTCAGCTGTACTCTTGATGGTTGCCTAGTTGCATGGATACAGTGGGGTTTTTTAARTCTTAAGGAAAAAAAGGTTGCATATCCTTTCAACTGCTGCATCATAATGAGAAGTCTTGTGAAGTGCTTATGAATTCATTGTACTGTTGAGTAAGTCTATTCCTTTTTTGCTTCAATTAATTCCTCATCTTCATCCTTCCRTTCATTGCTTGCCTACAGGTTTGTTTTGACTCCTTGTCAGGAAAGTACTTTGTTCAGGTGAGAAATCGTGGCTTGGTACTCTTAATTTGTCCTTGCTGTCCATATACCAGTAGCTACATGGCCTGTRTATTTCTAAAGACCTTTTGAAACTACCTGCGTTTTTTTGTGGCTGCAAGCACCAGGCTTAAATGGTGATGCATGCATGAGTGTATACTGTGTCCATGCTGACTGGCTGCAGATAATAATGCTTATTGGGATATAAACACTTCGTTCTGAGGCATGTTAATTTGTTGATATGCCTATGTATGTATGTGTATGTTTTTACTGGGCTTGAGAACTTTCAACCAGCATTATTTAAGTGTAGCTTGCTACAGTCTGCCTTGTTTTTTCATAAACTTACCTGAAATAGAGTTCTTAAAATTGGTTAAAAGGAAATTAATTAGAAAGGAAAACTTTCCATCTGTGTCTTCAGTTTGGTAGTCTGTATTAATGGAAAGAAGCAGCAGCACTATTGCTGGTTGTGTGGGCGTTTTTCCATTTGTTTGTTTGTTTTAACATGAAGCTAGCACCAAAGAGCTTTCCTGATCTTGTTGCTTATGTTAAAATACTAGTTTCAAAATTGACTTACTCTTCTGCTGCCTAAAATCAGTACTTCTTTCCCAAGGAAATGGAGCATATCCTCTTGTTCCACAGTGTCCTTGAGTCAGGAAGCTATCTTGAACACATGTAGTGCTCCAGATATAGAGTGGAGTATCCTTAGCCTAGACCTGTGCATCAGTGATGCAAAGACAGTGCTGTTGATAGGGTTTGAGTTAGGATTTTAGTTAGGCTTAAAAGCTTGTACCGGCATAGCAGGGGTTATGAGTRCACCAGGCTGGAATTGCTTCTTCCCTATACTGTAGTTTGCTAATAGTTTTTTTGCTAAGTGATCCTGTGTATTTGTATCYGTCCTTTGCCTATGCTGCGGCTGTCTTCTCTCT